AGGTGTTATGGTTTAATCTGCCCGAAGAAAGTTAATCAGGCTTATTATACTGGGGGGATTCAGAACCGCCGACCCCAAAATGTGCCACTTTGGCATGTGGATTATTTTGACCTGAAGGCAAACAGGGCCCAGCAGACTCAGGAAAAGCTTTTTACTTCCCTCTTAGCTAGCTAAGAGAAATAGGACAGGGGGTCTTTACCGGGAGGAGAGCTATTTTCATCTGAGAGAGTTACCTGCATGGCAGGGCAAACACTTGTTTACCAAACATTTGCTCTTCTCATCTTCCTACGAACTGCCTTCCTCTCCTTTGAAGCCCGACCCCTATCCTTTCCTTAGCTCAGGATGGTATATAAGCCTCAATTGCCTGGCTGCTTTTGGGTCTCATATCTTTGTGTGGTTTCCTTACATACTTAATCAAAATTGTTTTTCTTTTGTTAATCTCTTTTTTTATGGTGTGTGTGGAGTGGGGGATGTGGAGGTGTGGGGGGGGGGGAGTGTCTCAGCCAAGAACCTAAAAGGGTAGAGGAAACATTGTTTTTCCTCTCCTACAGGATTAGCTATTTTACTTAGAGAGTCCTTTTCTGTCCAAGTATTGAAATCCCTGTTCCTCAAATACACTCTGAACTTGGTTTCATTGCCGTAACTGAGGTTCCCTCAATCAGGAGTTAAATGAGGAGTTAATGGAGTTGTATTGGAAAACAATCACACTCATTTGTTTACATATTGTCTGTGGGTGATTTTGTGACATATGACAGACCGAATGGTCTCCAAGGCCTAAAATATTTACTATCTGGCCTTTACAGAAAAAGTTTGCCAGCCCCTGAGCTAAACAAAACTTTGATACCTGCTCCTTAACTAGTATGAAAATTTTGCTTTTTAACATCAGCTAATGATGGTGGATAATGTGATACTAAAAAGTACATGGTAGAAGCGATTCTACAGAGGCCAAAATATTACCACTAAATGCCAGGATTCTGATTCTCTAGGGGCTTAGACCCAGGAATGTGGATTTTAACATACTCTCTGGGTGACTCTTACGCATGTGCAAGTTTGAGACTCGCTGGAGCCCTCTGGTCTAGCTGAGTGGTTCTGTGCAGACTCTGGCTCCGTGGGTCTGAAGGGGGACCTGAGACTCTATATCCTAACAAACTCCTGAGTGATGCTGATGTTGGTGGTCCAAGGACATTAGTTTCCTCGCCTGTAAAATGAGATGATAAAAATCTGTATCACAGGGTTGTTGTGAGCATTAAATGAAGTAATGTACACTTACACCTACTTCCACCCCTTTCAAGCTATATCTGTTTGAGCAAGTTACTCAATGTCTTGGTTCCTATAAGTAGGGATAATAATAATTATATCCACTTCATAAGGTTGCTGGAAGGCATAAATGAGATAATATGTGTAAAGTAGCTAGAACAGAGCCTGGAACATAGTAAATGCTCCGTAATGTAAGATACTATTATTGTTACTATTATCCTTATTGCTACATACAGTGTCTGATGCATAGCAGATCATTTTCTGTCCTTTCATCCCTACTCCTCCTTCTAGCCCCTTCTGTCGATTTCTTTCTTTTTTTTTTTTTAAAGATTTTTATTGGGTGGACGGTCGAATGGTGCGTTGGTTAGGAGTTGGCTTGGGACGCCAGCTCTGAGCAGCAGGACCCTGGTTCATATCCCACATGAGGGCCAGTGATGCTGTGCCCTCTACAGCTAAGATGGTGAACAACAGCTCGACCTGGAGCTGAACTGCTGTAAGTCGCCGGTGACAGCGTAGGCTGCAGTGAAGCTGCAGTGGGCTGCCATATAGCTACTGTGAGTGGCTGGCAACTGGCTTGAGCAGCCAGCAGCCAGTGTGAGCTGCTAAGAGCCACTGTGAGCGGCTGTCCAGTGGCAGGCGACCGATCTGCCTCACCTGGGAAGAGCGCAATTATAATACCAACATGGGCCAGTGAAGCGACGTCCTCCACAACTAGACTGAAGAACAAAAGGACAGCAACTGTCCATTCCCCTCCCCCAATTCCCCAATAAAAGCTTAAATTTTTTTTTTTAATTGGGGAATTGGGGAGGGTAACAGTGTTGGGCAATTGGGGAAGGGGAACATTGTGTTTTTCCAGGATCCATCAGCTCCAATCAAGTTGTTGTCCTTCAATCTTAGTTGTGGAGGGTGCAAGCTCAGCGCCAAGTGCAGTTGCCGCTTTCAATCTAGTTGCAGGGTGCTTGGTCCACCATCACATGCGGGAGTCGAACTGGCAATCTTGCTGCTAAGAGCACGTGCTCTCATCAGTTCAGCGGCAGCTCAGCTTGGGTACAGCTCACTGGCCCATATGGGAATCCAACCGGTGACGCTGTTGCTCAGAGCTCGTGCGCTTAACCAACTGAGCCACTCGGCCAGCCCCTTCGGTTGATTTCTAATGTGTCTAATTGCAGACCTCCTCAGGGATGCTGATTCAGAAATACCCAAACCCAGTCCAGAAGACTCCACAGAAATGGGGACCCCAAAGGAGCTTGGACATGCACTGCAGCGCCCAGGCCCATCTGCCCACCTCTTTCGGGTGGCCTGGTGGCAGAGCGCCTCAGGACAACACAGGAAGTGGGCTTGCCAGTCCTTCCCACCTCTTGGAGCACAGACGCTCTCAGGGTTCCTGGGCATTTTTACTTTGTAGCACATTAATCTATGTGGCACCAAGTTTACTTTTCTGAGGACACCATTTGGGACAATATATGGAAAGCCTGAGAAGTCATTTCTCTTTGGCAGCAGTGCCCTCCGTAACAAAGCTAATGTTCCATGAAAGGCATCTGGATTTTGTTTCAGGTTTCTCTTTGCTTCCTCAGGGTCTAAGTGCTGGCAGGAACTGCCTTCTGAGGATTGTTTAGGAAACCTTAATTTCTGGATTTAGGGTGGTGTTTACAGTTGCAGCTTTGCATGACATGACCAAATTAGGGCCAGTCTTGCCCACATGGGTGCATTGGCCACCATTTGTCTCTGTCGGTCCTGTGGCCACCTTATCTCCAGGCATGCAGATGACACGGTCACTGGTCATGGTGTGTCTTACATGTAAGTGAGCAGGATTGAGTGTGTGAGGTATGTTTTCTTCTATAAGCCAGTATCAAGAAATCCAGTATAGATACCATGTCTGTATGATCAGCTCCATGGGGCCCCAGCTTGTTTTGTTGTGAGAAAATTCTGTCCAAATAAACACACTGCTAGGACTAATAGTTCCTACCAACAGGATCTAGAATGAAAGGTGAAGATTCCGGTTATCTATAGAGAATAAGCAAATGAAACACAAAGAAAGGAGGGACAATAACTAATGACATTGAACACCTATTCTTTGCCAGGCACTGTACAATTTGGGATCATTTAGTCTTCAAGAAAATCTGTGAAAAATATGTTTTCCCTCCCCCTCCTTTCTTGAGGAAAAAAGGGGGCTGTGAAGGCAGCAGCAGAGAGGCTGGGAAGCCAGAGGCAACTGGTGTGCTAGGGAAGTTAGTCATATACAGGGGAATTGGGGGGCAGGGGAAGAAAGGAAGGAAAAAAGCAAAAACTATATTGAGAATAACGGGAGCCAGTTTTCTTGCTGTTGGAGGAGATTTACCAAAATGGCAAGGGGGAAGGCTAGAAAAAGCACACTGTTACTAAGGTTCGATGCACCATTTCCCATATTGCAGATCCCTGACTTTCCGTTGGATGGCACTCGGCAGCAGCATGCACCTTATTTGTTGATCACAACGGAAAGGCTCCATGTCACACATGGATTCTGGTACGGCAATTGCTGTCAAATAAAAACTTTACAGTGTGTCTCATCCACCTTCTTCATGGGATCTGGCACCGTGTGACTTCTGGCTCTTCCCCAAAAGTCAAAATGATTCAGGACATAGAGGCAGCCATGACAGCGCAACTAAAGACACTCACAAAAGAGGACTTCCAGAACTGCTTCAGAAAGTGGCAAGAACGATGGGATAAGTGTGTTGGAAGAGAGGGGAAATATTTTGAGGGGGATTAAGGGCAACGTGTCTTTATTGTAATATTTTTTTTAAACATTCACTGTATTTTTATCACTCCTTGTATGCAAAAATGTTTATAGCAGTGTTGTATGCAATAGCATAAAGCTGGAGACGGTCCAAATGTCTCTCGGCTCAAACATGGATAAATAAATTGTGGGAAATAGCTACTATATATGGTTGAAATACAGTAGTGAAAATTAATGAAGCACGGCCATACTCTTCAACGCTGATTATCCCTTCAGTCCTTTACAAAATGAAGTACTTGAATCACGTTCAGCTTTTGCTTTCCAAAAGCAGATTTTATGTCTTGTTATTTGTCAGTATTTCAAGTTGTGACAACAGAACGGGTTGGTGATGGAAACTGGGCTCTGAGTCACCGGCGAGGGAGGGCTTCATTGAGTCATGCCAGGGACACTTATAAAATAATAAAATAAAATTTACTGGGCACACATCTACCATGTCGGGTACTCCTTTGATTTTCCAAGGGCCACTGGCTACCTCCTCCTCCCCTCACCTTTCTCATCATCAGTTTCACCCCTTAACGTCTTCCCGTGTTTGATTAGAAGCAGACGGTCCCTATGATGGTCCGGGCACTAAGCTCCCCAGGACCGGCCCATCTCTGATGATAACCACCACCTGGGCCGCCCCGCTCCCACCCCTTTCGCCCTGGAGATTCTCTTAAGACTTGGACCATGATAGATGGGGCAGGATTTCATTTCAACTCCCCTTGGCCCTGCGACCCACGCTCTCAAGTCTGAGCAGGCCTCATCGCCCTGCCGCAGCCTGCGCACCCTGGGACTTCGAGCCAAGACATCTTCAAGCGACCTCACTTCGGCACAACCCACGAAGACAGCCAGACACCGACTTCAAATGATGTATCGCCTAGTGCTTTTTACCCAGCAGGTCCCCGCGGGAGGAGGCAGCCCTGCGCCCCGAGGCCACGCTTGCTGCAACGTCATACAGCGCGCCCGGAAATGGCCGTAGGGCTTTGACGTCATCCGGCGGCGGCGAGTTGACCTTTGCTCTACAGCTGCTGAGAGTGGGCGGGAGGAGGAGGAGGATCTGGGGCCAAGATCATGCCTAAGTGCGAGAGGATTTCAGGGCAGCAGAGGCCGCTAGGCTTGGGATGAAAGAAGCAGGGCAGATGCAAAATCTGGAGAGCGCGGGGGCCCGGCGGTCAGTCAGCACCCAGACTGGCAGCATGACCGGTGAGTGCCTGGGACCCCGCTCCCTCCGCCGCATCCCCGCTCTCTCTGCCCTGTGTCTTCGCTGCGGTTCAGCTCCGGGGCCCCTGCCTCCCTCTTCGCTTGCAGTTCTGCCCCGGGATGTCTCATCGCGCCTTCCTGGCGCGTCCCTGCCTCAGTCATCTGCACCTACTTTTGAAGGCGCGCTCACTATAACCCCCACTCCCTGGACCTACAGCTGGAGTTTGGGGGATTGACGAGCCTCAAAATTCCGCAAATCGTGCTTTGGACCTGATTTCCAAATTAACCGCACGCGACGTTTTCCCGTATTTCTACGGCTTTCCCCTCTAAGGCCACTGCATTTTTAGAACCGTCTGCTAACCGCTGCCCTCGTTGCAACGCCACAGTCCAAAGAAAAGCTTTGCTCCACGATGACATCAGATGCAAGGGCCTTTCATAACTTCCTTTAGATTGTTCCCATAGCTGGTACCTTTCCCCGCCCTGTTGTGTGAGGGCTGGAGAAAGGACCCAACTTTGGAAAGTGCTGGAAGAAGTCGTTGCAAGTGAGGTTGTAGTTTGTGTCCTGCTAAGAAAGCGCTTCGATTCTCTTGTCCTCTTCTTTTTCTCTTCCTCCTGCTAAAGCAGCTGAGCTAAAGTTGAAGCACCCAAGTGGCATTGAGTTTAGTTCGTATTTTCATCGCTAATAAAAATTTAAAGTGTCTGTCCTCTCTTTTGTAGGTCAAATACCAAGGCTTTCTAAAGTCAACCTTTTCACTCTGCTCAGTCTCTGGATGGAGCTCTTCCCAGCAGTAGAAGCCCAAAGACAAAAATCTCAGGTATAGTTTTAACTTAGATAATTTAACCGCTTAGAAAATCAGTGGTCTAAAATTTGGTTTTATTGCTCCAGGATGCATCACACTTAAAAACAAATTCAAAAACCTTACAATTTGCAAAAGATCTTTATGGTTTAGTGTGATATTTGTAACTCCCAGCTCTACCAGTTCATTTTTCCAGTCTAAAAATAGAATAGTTCTCCTCTCCAACTGTACCATGTTTATCAGGTATTAATGGTATTTATATGGTGATTTGGCCAACTAGATTATTGTTTATACCACATAATTTATCACTCGATTGTATACTGTTGGCATTTCACCTGGGTAGTTTTACCCCTCTTCCACCAAACCGTAAATTACTTGAAGATAGAAACCATGTTTTATCTTACCTGGTATAGCCCTTAGCATCTACTGTTGTAATTGGTAATCTGTGAATGCTAATTGGTTTCTTGTTCCATGTAAGTAGTCCTGTTTTTGGATGTCAAGAGATAATCAAAGCAGTTTAGGAATGTATAGTAAGAATAATCATAAAAGCTAATGTATTAGAAGTATGTACACCCTCATTTCTTTCTCCTACCCTCGGGGTGGCAAGGTGCTATGTCCTCGTCATTTTGGTTTGGTAGATTTGGAAGCTTAGAGTGTTGTCATTAATTTTTAGGGGGCCAAAATCGTATTATGGAAATTACTATTAGGTTAAATTAAGCATTTCAGACACTTTTGAGGAAAAGGGGGAGAGGGGGAAATTACCCATGGTTTCTCACCATTCTAACAGCATCACTTTTAACATTTTGGTGCTTTCCTTCAATCTTTTTTAAAGCCTAGGTTGTTTTTTCTCTTATAAAATTGTAATTGTATTCTGCATATGCTTATTTAAGTTTCCAACTTGCCAATAATTCTGTTGAAAGGTTGCTTCAGATTTTCCACAGAAAGACTTTTTGTAAATCCTTAAATTCCCATAGTACTCTTATGAGGTCATTCATAGCCATCCTCTTTTCCTTTTTCATTTTTGATGTCTTCTATACTGTGGATGAAGTTGTGTGCTTGGCACTGGAGATAACAAAGAAAAGACGTAGTCCTTTCTAATGAGGATAAAACCTATTTAAACAAGTAAGGCATTTAAACAGTTAAGATACTATTACATAGTAGAGTCAACTTGTATAAAATATAAGCAGAGATGCTACCAAGGCTGAAGGCTGAGGGCCAGGCTCTAAATGGGGAAGTGAGGGAAGGATTCACAAGGTAGGTTGCGTTTGCACTGATACATGAAGAACGAGTTGATATTTGCTGTTAGTACTTGCAGAGCCAGGGAGGAGCTCTGAGACTGAAAATCTACCTCTGGAAGTGGAAGGCAAGGAAAAACTGAAAAAAGGCTGGCCACTGCAGTCTGGTAATTAACAGAGTTTATTAAGGAAACTTACATACGAGGCATGTCTTGGGTGGCTGCAATACAAAATGGATCCCTGCACCACTTGGCAGGCCCCAGAGAATTACACAGGGTAAAGGGGTGGTTAGTCACGTTTATGAATGAGTATGTGGACGCTATTGCACGTGACTGACCAGGTCATGACAACAACCTGCTCCAGGAGCCAACACATAGCAGGAGGCAGGGGAGGGATGCCAACTTATGTCAGAATGAACATCAGTTACCATCAGACAGTCTCTAAGCGGGGTTTGCAGAAAGCAACCTCCACTGTGGCCTGGGTCCAGCTTCAGTACAGACAGTCGTCATGTCGTGGAATGGTCTCTCTCCTTTACATTTGCCAAGCCAAGGGACTCCATATGGAAAAGTGAGGGGTGAGAGAATTTGTGGTCCACATGTCAGAGGGTGAAGTTGGATGGAGGGTGGATACTGAAATGAGTTTGGAAAGGTATACAGGAATCAGATAATAAAAAAAACAAAAAACTTTTACACCTTGCAAGGGAGTCCAGATTGTATCCTGTAAGTATTGGGATTGCACTGATGAATTTTGATAGGGACTTAGGGAATTCACCATTTTTAAATTAAGACTTTATTTTTTTTAGAGCAGTTTTTGGTTTACAGCAAAACCGAGAGAAAAGTACACAGATTTTCCATATACCACTGCCCCCACATGTGAATAGCTTCACCCATTATCCACATTCCCCCAGACTGATACATTTGTTAAAATTGATGGACCAACATTGGTACATCATAATTACTCAAGGGCTATAGTTTACATTAGAGTTCATTCTGTGTTGTACATTCTGTGGATTTGGACAAATGTATAAGGACATATATCTATCATTATGGTATCATACAGAGTATTTTCATTGGCTAAAATTTCTGTGTGCTCTACTTATTCGTTCCTCCCCAAACCCTCACCCCCTGATTTTTTTGTTTGTTTGTTTTTGTTACTGTCTCCATAGTTTAATCATTCCCAAAACGTCATATAGTTGCAATCGCACAGTATGTAGCCTTTTCAGATTGACTTCTTTCATTTAGCAATATGTATTTATAAAGTTTCTTCATGTCCTTTCATGGCCTGATAGCTCATTTCTTTTAAGTGCTGAATAAAATTCCATTGTAGACTGTACCACAGTTTATTTATCTATTCGCCTGCTAAAGAGCATCTTGATTGCTTCCAAGTTATGGCAGTTATGAATGAAGCTGCTATAAACACCTATGTGCAGGTTTTTGTATGGACATGTTTCACTTCCTTTGGGAAAATAACAAGGAGCATGATTGCTGGATTGTATGGGGTTTTTTTGTTGTTGTTTTTTTTGTTGTTGTTTTTTTAGCTGAGCCATCCTGCCACCTGTTGGCAGCTCAGCAGCAGCTTAGCTCGACTCGGCCCCGCCCGGCATTGAACCGCTGTTGCTCAGAGCTCGCACTTGTGAGTGAGCTCCTAACCAACTAACAGCCACTCGGCTGGCCTGGATTGTATGTTAAATTTTGTAAGTGTATATAGTTTCATAAGAAACCACCAAACTGTCTTCCAAAGTTGCAGTATCACTCTGCATTCCCAGCAGCAAATAATGAGAATTCTTGTTGCTGCATATGCTCTCCAGCATTTGATGTTGTCAGTGTTCTTGTATTTTGGCCATTTGAATAGGCATGCTGTGGTATCTTATTGGTGTTTTCATTTGCATTTCCCTGATGACATGTAACGTGGGTTATCCTTTCTTATGTTTATCTGCCGTCTGTATATCTTTGGTGAGGTATCTGTTAAGCTCTTTGGCCCATATTTTAGTTGGGTTGTCTGTTTTATTATTGAGTTTCAAGAGTTCTTCATATATTTTAGATAACCTTTCATCAGATGTGTGTTTTGCAAATTTTTTTTCCCAGTCTGTAGCTTGTCTTCACATTCTCTTGACATTGTCTTTTGCAGAGCAGTTTTCAATTTTAATGAAGTCCAGCTTATCACTAATTTCTTTCATGGATTATGCCTTTCGTGTTTTATCTAAAAAGTCATGGCCATATCCAAGGTCATCTAGGTTTTCTTCTATGTTATCTTTTGAAGTTTTGTAGTTTTGCATTTTACATTTAAGTCTGTGATTCATTTTAAGTTAAATTTTGTGAAGGGTGTAAGGGCTGTGTGTACATAGGGAGTTCACTTTTCATGATAAAATGATATCTCTAGGAATAGTTTTCTCTTCAAATTCCTATGTGAAATGTTTTCTAAATACTAAAACATTACTAAAAATGTTATGCATTTTTATTCCCTACTTGTCAACCACTCCCCTAGCCCCCACCCTCTGGCTTTCTCAAAACCATTAATAATATGGGTCTACATATTATTAATGGTTTTGAGAAAGCTTTTACTTTCTTCATGGTCCTGAAGCCCTTTTATTCAGTCTACTTCTTGATAGCTTAGTATTATTTTGTGTAAATAGAAGATTTTCAGGCAGTCAGGTGTTTTTGGTTTTTTTGGCAGATAAAATTCATCTTGAATTTTGGACTGGAGCAAATGTTTAGAAACTTAAGACTTTTTAAACATGCATTTACAAAGCTGGGCTTGTTAGTGTGAAGGAGGAAGAAATTTTCCTCTGCCCTCCTAGGTTCTTTCAGCTGGCCTAATAATCAAATAGGCATGAGACAGGTTAACAAGAGAAGATTACCAAATTTAATTACATGCATATGTATGGGAGCCCCACATAGATGAGAGGTTTAGAGACAGAGAGGAAAAATGAGGTATATATGATATTCTCAGTTAAGGATGAGGTAAGACACCTTGGGGCTTCAGAGGGGAAAAAGGTCATTCTCAGGACAATAAGAACAGATGTTCAGTATTGAGAAGTTTGCTCTGCCCTATACATTGGTCATAAAAAGTTACTTGTGGTGTTAACTTTTATTATGGGCAAGGCCCCCGTTTTAAATTCTTTAAGGGTGAGGTAAAGTTTCTTATAAGCTCGCAGGGCCCCAATTGCCTTCAGCTCAAAATAATTTACATGCCAAAGTGTCATATCTTGGAGAGGCCTGTTCTAAAATCCTTCATTAGAGATTGAGTACTAATTTTGAAGAAACTTTGTTTAATATCAAAATTTGATCTCATTTCAATTCTTTTATGTATATTAGTATAGTGTACATATATATATCAATAGATATCTTTCTCTCTCTGTCTCTCTCTCTCTCTCTCTCTCTCTCTCTCTCTATATATATATATATAGATAGATAGATAGATAGATAGATAGATAGATAGATAATATATCAAGAGTACATCCTATGCTGAAATTAAGTTCTTTTTGACAGGTACCTTAAATTAAATAAGTAATTCCAGTATTAATTGCACATGGTGTTCATAGGGTTGAGTAAGACTTTTTTCTTAAGAGAAGAAAAATGTTGTTTAAGCTAAAGTAATGTTTGTTTCACTTAAGTTCTTTATTCTGCTTTTGTGATACAAAGTAAATCACAGAATCTCTAAGATGCAATTTGACATGTAATTGTATTGGAAACATTGCTTTCGACACTTTACCCACTTTATTGTCTTTTTAAAATACAATATGTTTATGTGTTACCAAAGTAATATATGTTTATTATTTATAAAATGGACAGAAGAAAAATATTCCCATAATTCTGCCACCTAGAGACTACTGACATTTTTGTGCTATTTCCTCAATCTTTTTCCTCTATTCCCTTTACTCATTTGAGATCACTTAATTCTGGATCCTGCGTTTTTCACTTAGCATAGGAAAATGCTTATGCTATAATATTCCAATATTATGAACATTGGAGCAGCAACTTAGTCTAATGGTTAAGAGTAGCCAGTGGTTTTGCAGTTAGCCTGCCTGGGTTCAAATTCTGGCTCTGCCTCTTACTAGTTGTGTAAACGTGGGTAAGTTACTGTACCTCTCTGTGTCATTTCCTCATTTGTACAATGGAATGTTACTGGTACATACTACATGGGGCTTTTATGAAAAGTTAATGATTTCATATATGTAAAGCTCTTAGTGCCTGACACATTCTATGTACCATAAGTATTTGTTATCATTTTAATGATTGCATAACACTCCATTGTATCAATGTACCGTATCTATTCCCTTATTACTGGACATTTCAATTGTAATTTTTACCAGCTTTAGTGTATTATCAACCTTTCTACATACAGTAGTCCCCCCTTATCCATGGCTTTGCTTTCTGTGGTTTCAGTTACCCATGGTCAACCGAGGTTCAAAAATACTAAGTGGAAAATTCCAGAAAGAAACAATTTCTAAATTTTAAATTACACACCATTTTGAGTAGTGTGATAAAATCTGGTACCATCCTGCTCCATCCTGTCCAGGATATGAATCCACGCTGTGTGTGCTCCCCACCCACTACTCACTTAATAGCCACCTCAGTTATCATATCGACTGTTGCAACATCTCAGTGTGTGTGTTCAAATAAACTTTATTTTACTCAATAATGCCATATTCACAAAACTTATTACAGTATATCGTTATAATTGCTGTATTTTATTATTAGTTATTGTTGTTAATTTCTTACTGTACCTAATTTGTAAATTAAACCTTGTCATAGGTTTGTATGCATAGGAAAAATTGGTAGATACAGGGTTTGGTACTATCTGCCGATCCAGGCATCCACTGTAGATAGAAGGGGACAACTGTATAACTGATACCTAGTATTTTCTATGTTTTCAAACAGATACACTGTATGGGTGCTCCTTGAGGAATTTTCAGCAAGGTATACATCAAGTATAAAAACTAATAATTTTAAAGAATCCAGTCCAAACCTAAATAAATGAGTGGAAGACAAAATATTGCTTATGAGACTTCTGGTGCAAAAAACACAATTAGAAGTTTTGGAATAAAAATCAAGCACTGTTGAAAATGGCTGTCATTTAAAAATAATTATCTCTCCTATTTGCTCATAATTTTTTAGTTTAGTTAAGTTAGAGTTATCTAAATTATCTGAATGTTACTTTAGTATAGGAATTAGAATGACTGCATTGTTCTCTCATTTTTCTCTACATGGCACATATTGTCTCTCTCCCAACTCTTTCCATTTTTTTTGTCTGCTGCTACCTTATTTTCATGATTATACTTTTCTAGAACAGAAGCAGTGTAGCATAATGATTAAGAGAATGGATTTGGGGCTCAGATCTTGGCTTACCCATTTATTAGCTGTGTGACCATGGTGAAGTTATTTAATCTCTGACAGCCACAATTTTCTCATTTGTAAAATGGGAACTATAGTAGCTACTCTGTAAAGTTGTGAGGATTAAACGAGGTAATTTGGGGCTTGATATGTGATAGACATTCAGTAAGTGTTAGATACTGTTATTATGTATCCCTCATATAGTCATCATCATCACTACTATACACACCCCCACCATTTCACTACTAACATCAACACCTCTTCCACTTTCTGTTTTGCTTGAATAGAAACTTCATTCCCAGGACATGGCTTTTCTTATAAACTTCTTTGGGGTCATTCCTCTATCATCCAGCATTACCCATCGTACTAAGATGTCAGTATTCATCAAGATCATCATTCCAACTTTCAAACTTTCTCCAGTTTATTACACATCCTACCTACTTTGGGGTTCGCAGGGTTCTGCTTTATCGCCCTGACATTGTCAAGTTCCTGTGTCATAAATGATAAGCTCCATCAGGGCTGTATCCTGAACTGTCTATGGCTGGCACATTGCAAGGGTTCAATCAATATTTATTGAATTAATAAATAAAGGAGTTTGGCCCCTGGTTCAAAACTTTCTACTTCAAGTTTTACTTTTAGAGGAGATTTATGGACATCCCTGTATTAGCGTCCTGTTGCTACTATAACAAATTACCACAAAGTTGGTGGCTTAAAACAACACATGTTTATTATCTTACAGTTCTGGAGGTCAGAAGTCCAAAATGGGTCTCACTGGGCTACAATCAAAATATTTGGCAGGCTGCATTCCTTCTGGAAGCTCTGGGAGGATCCATTTCCTTGCCATTTCCAGCTTTTAGAGACTGCCCACATGCCTTGGATCATCAACCCCTTCCTCCATCTTCAAAGCTAGCAAGGGCAGGCCGAGTCTTACCTTGCATCACTCTGGCACTGACTCCTGCCTCCCTCTCTCACTTACAAGGACCCTTGTGATTACATTGGTCCCACCCACATAATCCAGGATAATATCCCTATCTCAAGGTCAGGTGATTAGCAGCCTTAATTCCACAGGCAACATGGTAACAGAACATAGCTACAGGCTCCAGGGACTGGGACAGGGAGGCCATTAGGGGACCGTTTTTCTCCTTACCACAATCCATAGTCTAATGCTTTTGCTACATATTTTTTTCCCAAGTCCAGTTAATTTCCCACTCTTCCCCTTTGGCCTTTTTTAGCCAGAGCCACACTCTGGACTTTAATATTGCTCAAAACTCTGCAGTCTTAAACTACAGAATTTTATTTTCTGACCACAATTTCCAGTCCGTCTACATTTTGGAAAAGCATGCAGAGGTCAGAATAAAAAAGCCTTGTTTATTAGGTTAAGTAGTCTGAACGTGAACCTGAACAAAGCAGAAGTCAGTGCCGAGTTTCGTCAAAAAAAAATTGAATGGTCCAAAGCCAAGGACACCAGCCTTTAAATGGGAAATATTGAATGAATCATGTCTTGCATAATAATCTTTTTCTCCCTCTTAATCTTCTTTTAATTAGGAAAAGGAAGAGGGAAAGCATGGACCCGTAGGAAATAATGAAGAGATGGCCAGAGTATCTACAGACAAAAAACAGGTGAATTTTTATGATTAAAAAAAAAAAAGACATATGTGCTCATAATAAAGCAAAAGGAATGGTATAAAGTAGAATAAAGTCCCTCTTATGATTTAGTTCCCTGTTCCCACTTCCAAAGGAGTTTATTGTACACTCTTCTAAAAGTTTTTTTTGCATTTATAAGTCTGTACATCTCTCTTGTAAAACAACAAAGCCGCCGGATTACTCTATAATTTGTCTTCCTTTTCTTTTTTTTTTCTTTTTCACATTTAATTCTTGACACATTCCCGTATTAGTTCATATGTGTTTAGAAACACTTTTCTATGATTCAAATTCCAACACATCTTGCTGGTTTTAAGAATGCAAGACCGTAACTGCTCTTTTTACCTCAGCCATTTCTCCGAGTTGTGTTTGTAACAAGCAACCTTGAGATTGAGGTAATGTCTCACTCTGGGACAAAGAGTGGGTTTGCGTACTGTTTGGGATAAAACAATAGAATCCCCAAGCTTGGTGTTCCTCTCCTATAACATAACCTACTCTGTGTCCAGGAATCCATCTGGGCCCATCGGCATGACTCACATGGGATTTGTGGGGAAGGGAACCGTCACAAACAGTGTCATGCTGCTTGCTGAGCTCTGAGTGATACAGTCTTTTGTCTGTGACCCAGGAGTTTCAAGTCTTCTGTCAGCATCCATGAAACAGTAACAGCCTACCTCACTAGCATATAGATAGGGTAAAGTCAAAGCCTAGACCTAACAAGATGAACCTTGTTCTTTTTAACATTGCATAGTATTTACTCATTATTTTAACTTTTTGCGTTTTCCAGAGAGATTCTGATTCATTGAGTATGGAGTAGAGATAAAACATGTATATTTTGAAAAAAGTTACATTGATGATTCTGATGTACATTCCTGAAGATTTACTGATTAGTTCTGAGAGTCAGATTCTAAAATGCCCAATAAGAATATAGAAATAATTTGTCTCAAAGTAGTTAGATGTTTTTAATTATAAGAAAAGCAAAGGTAAAAAAGCAGTGACTTGCCATTTAAGTAAATATACTAGTTCATATACAAAACAGACTGCCCTCTTTTGCCGATGTGCTACTATAAAACTGACTAGGATTACATCGACGACTTGCCAAGACATTAGTGAAGTGAAGCAAAGTCAGGATCCAGAACAGTGATTCACTCAAAAAATGCAGTCTTCTGGGAGTTTCTGGGAGGTGCAGTAAGTGGACATGCTGAAATGGAATGCAACTTAGGCTTTTATTTGTTTCAATGTGGGATGGAAAAAATCTTTGTCTCAAACTTGATATTTTGGGCTTAGCTAGAAACAAAACGAAAAAATAAAATTTCTGAGGTAAAAAGGACTCTAGACAAAAAAGTGATAAACTTGGCCTAAAAGGTTGTTTTACTTCCATTTATTAGGAACAATTTTTTAAAAAGTCTTAGTGGTCAGGATTTCTGTCCACTTAACTTCTTGGAACATTTTTTTTTAAATTATTTTTTTATAGTTGCGCCATCCTGCCACCTGTTGGTAGCTCAGCGGCAGCTCATCTCGGGCCTGGACTCAAATTGCTGTCGCTCAGAGCTCTCACTCTTGAGCGAGCTCTTAACCAACTGAGCCACTCGGCCAACCCAACTACTTGGAACATTTAAAACTAAAATCATTCAATTTCAGCTGTTGCCATCAGTCACAATTGGTTCAGTTTGATAAAATGAGCTCTAGCATACTGAGTCTTTTGATAAGACCTCATCAGTTCTTTTGCAAAGTTACAATTAGAAAAAAAACACCTGCTGGAAGTATTCAGAAGTAGATATTAACATATACTTTGCATTTGAGGAACATAAAACTCTAAAAAATTTTGGGATAGGCAGGGGAAAGGGTTCACAGATTCAAGGTAAATTTAAAGCTTATTTTAAAAGCCAATATAGATAGATCTTTCACATTCTCTCCGTGTGTGTCTGTCTGTCTGTCTGCCTCTCCCTCTCTCTCTCTCTATATATATAGATATATATCTATATATATATATCTATATAGATCTATATATATGTGTGTGTGTATATATATATATATATATTTGGATCTAAATATTATAAATGAAGATTTTTGTATTCATTTTAAATGTCATATTTCAGGAGATGGTTGGTTAACTAAGAAATGGAATTCTATAATATCTATTCCTTTTTTTAGGCTTTTCACAAAATATTCTCCATAGTGTCAAACATTTATACTCATAACTGACACCAAAATTTGACTATTTTATTTAATATAACTTTGGTCTGATCTGTAAAGTGACTTCAGATGTGTCCTATTGAGAATAACCATGGAGTAACCAAAGTACTCCTTTGAAAAGGAGTAGGGAATAATGGATACCCTATTCTCAGCCTTATATTGTTCCTCTTATATTGTAACAATCGGTTCCAAACCCAAGGATCAGGTTTACTTTCCTTATTTCGGTCTTTTGCTGTGAAAACAGCCTAGATTATTTTGTGCCTTACCTGGAACTGATTTGTACTTTAGTCTGTTTTATCTGGTGTTAATATTGTTACACTAGCTTTTTTGATTAGTTATATAAATTAGGACACTTTAGGGTTAAAGTAACAACTCTTTAGAACCCCAGCCAGTCCCCAGACTCCAGGGTTTAAAAGCAGAGTTAGCCCAATCTGCTAGCAATGAGTGAGATACTGCTAGGATAGTTCAAGCTTACTGCTTTGGCTCTGAGTTCTCTCTTCCTTTCTAATGCCTGAAAGTATATCTTCCATTCTTTTGAGCTTAACTATGCATTTGAAAACATTTTTTTATTATAAATAATGTATATATTTGTGGGAGGTGGCACCTAACCACATTAGTCTAGACTGCCATAGTGCTGAAAATTGGTAGAGCCAGTTTTTAGAAAGAAGTTGATAAGTACTTTTATTTTAATCAGTATTTAAAACATTTTAAAATTTAGGACAACCTCTGCTTTAATTCTGCCTTTTACCATCTGTGGGTCATGTAAACTTTCTGGGCTTCTCTTATTCATGTGTGAAATCACAGTTTTCCACATTTTTCTTTATGAGCATTACTAAAGCTTATTACTAAATAGTTCTAGACTAGATACTGTAAGAAACAAGTAAATTTTTTTTTTTTTTTTTTTTTTTTAGCTGAGCCATCCTGCTACCTGTTGGCAGCTCAGCGGCTGCTCAGCTCGGGCTGGACTTGAACCGCTGTTGCTCAGAGCTCAATCTCTTGAGCGAGCTCTTAACCAACTGAGCCACTCGGCCGGCCCGAAACAAGTCAAATTGACTTAGTTCTTGCCCTTTACTAGGTCAAAATGTATTCATTTTTCACTATGACAAATTAGTGATAATTAAATGCTTAATTATTTGGTTAAGAAACCCTAGATTTAGAACATTTCTGGTATAAACATTAAAGATTCAGGAAAATTTTTGGACCTAATGAAAAATGTGCATTTGTCTAAACTGTGTTCAGATAAGTAAACAAAATTTTCATTTTATTAATCAAGTATAATCCAAGATATGATCATACTAATAAATTGTTATTTTTTATCTTACTGTAGGTGAAGAAAACTGGTCTTGTGGTGGTGAAAAACATGAAAATTGTTGGTCTTCACTGTTCGAGTGAAGATTTACATGCTGGGAAAATTGCTCTTATAAAACATGGGTCAAGGCTGAAAAACTGTGATCTTTATTTTTCCAGAAAGCCATGTTCTGCTTGTTTGAAAATGATAGTAAATGGTAAGTGCAGATAAGGCTTTGTTGGGGGTTACTAGCATTTCTCTGAGAACAGTCAGTGGAAACATATTGTATAAATACCACAGAGATAATTTAGAAATATAAAAGTATATCTGAAGACAGTTTGATACACTACAAGAAGAGTCAAGAAAGCATGGATTCTGGTCTCAGCTCTGTTACTAACTAGTTAGATGATCCTTCATGTATTAGTAGACTAATGTTAGCTGCTGTAACAAATAAAACACCAAAATCTCAGTGGCTTAATATACTAGACATTTATAACCTCTGTACAGCAGTATACCCTTATCTGTGGGGGATGTGTTCCAAGACCCTCAGTGGATGCCTGAAGCTACAGATAGTACTGAATTCTATATATATTATGTTTTTTCCTACACATGCATACCATTTCACCTAAAGGAAGCACTTTATAGCTTCTCTTTGGCACATCCGAATTACCAGCATCACTACTCTTCTGCTTTGGGGCCATTAGTAAGTTAAGAGATACTGGAACCACAAGCACTGTGATAGATTCCAGGATTCTGCAACAGTCAAACTGATAACCCAGATGACTGCCGAGTGACTAATGGGCGAGGAGCGTGCACGGTGTGGAGATGCTGGACAAAGAGGTGATTCACGTCTGGGGCGGACTGGAGTGGGATGGGGAGGGATTTCCTCACGCTCGTGAGAATGGTGAACAATTTAAAACGTATGAATGGTTTATTCTGGAATTTTCCATTTAGTATTTTTGGACCATGGTTGACTGTGGGTAACTGAAACCACAGAAAACGAAGCTGTGGAGGAGGGGGACTACTGTAATAGCCACATGCGGGTGTTGCTCAACAGCGTGCAGCTTTCTCCATGTGGTTGAGTTGAGGTCCTAGGCATCCTCTCGTACTGCTGCTGTCATCCCTAGGGCCTGAGTCCTCTGCCTCCAGACTGAGCAAGAGAATAGAGACGCATACCTGCTCTTAAAAACGCTGGCCTGGAAATCACACACATCATTTCTGTTCATATCCATTGTGGAACTGTAGTTCTGGCTGGGCAGCTGCCTCCCAATGACTCCTCTACACTTTGGAAGGAGCACAGGTTATTCATGTGTAGTCATTCATTTCTGCCTCACCAGGCTGCTCACTAAACCTCTTTGTGCTTATGATCCTATTTGCCCCAGATAAATATGCTGACCATTCTGCTATTTAAAAAAATACATATATCTTTTACATAGACACTGTAAAATTGTGACTTATAATATGAATGATAGATTTGGTCTTCATTCCATTCCTGACAAACTAAAAGCCCGTGGAATTTTCCGAATAACAAAAGCTGTCTTTTGTTATTCATAACATGCCCCTTTCAACCACACCTGAGTTTCTGTTAATGAAAGTTCTGGAAAACCCCTGTGGATGGGGCTTGGTTGCCAGGGGAAACAGCCAGGTGATTAAAGGGTTGGAACTTTCAGCCTCACCCCCCAGACCAATGTCCAAAGATTTATTAATTGTGCCTATGTAAAGAAGCCTCCTTTGTAGAGCTTCTGGAACAAAGGCTAGTATACTTCCTAATCCTTTCCCTCAAGGTTTTATTGGGGGCCCAAACTTACAATTTACTGTAACACATCATCTAGGACCAAATGAGTGATACAGGCTATAAGTGATACATGAGCTTAGAGGAGAGATGGTGGCTGGCATGTTATGAGCAGCTGGGGCTTCAGCTGCACCTTGTGGGGCCAGAGGTGGAGACGGAGGGACACAGCCCTGTCAGGGGGACAGCACGTGCGGGGTCATCAAGCTGTGAGACGCAAGGTTCTGGGGGTCCGTGTTTGAGATGGAGAATTTTTCTTGGAGAGAATAATGGCAAATGGAACATGACGATAGGTTGGGACTGTAGTGGAGAACTTTGGAAAACTGTATGGCCTTTGGGCTTTATTCTATAAAACAGAATTCCTAAACTTGTTTTGAGGAAGAGCTATTTTTATTTACATCAAAGTCTTAAGAGTAGTGATCAGATTGGTGGTGAAGGCAGTACCCCTGAGCTATAAGTGGAAGCAGTGGTCAGGTGACCAGAGCTTCCTGGCCTGTGACAAGTATTTAAGCAGGTAGGTATCTGTGATGGTTGTTAGATCCATAGTCTCCCCTGCAGTTACAGGTAAAGAAGATAGGTAAGATAGTGGTGGTGGCATTTTTTTCTCCTTTTCCTAATTAACTGAGCAGATTGGATATTTATTTTACCACTTGTGTTAATTGATCTATAAATCCTATTATAGATAATGTGGAGCCATTGAAGATTTTTGAACAGGATGTAACATTAAAATTATTACTATATTCTTTTGTTATTGAATTGGAGCAAGGAAAGAAAAGAGGTTGAGAGCATGATTAGTAGACTGTTGCATTAGGCAGGGTATAAAATAGGATTCATCGGGTGGCATTGATATGGAAATGAAAGAATGTGAAAGAACCAAAACATGTTTTGATTGATCTCTTCTAGAGTCAAGGGAGAAAAAAATAAATGAAAGATAGATGTGTTTTGTGCTGAGCTGACTATGCTGAAAGCATTCCTAATAGTCTCAGAGCCGTATTTTGAAAAATAGGGGAGTACAAGCTACTGACCACTGCCTGATGTCTTTGAGCTAAGACATTTAAACCTGGCAAGAGAGATAATGAAGTGTGGAAAAGCAAGAAGGACCTACAGTAGAAATGCTTTTATGATAATGTTGGACCCATGCATAATAAAATTGCTATGTTAGATTAGGTTTATATATTATTAGTATAATTTGGGAAGTGGCATGGTTTTACCCCACACTATAGCTAAATTCGTTTAGTTACAGTTATTGTTACATTAGCTACATAGCAAACATTTCCAAAGCATAGTGGTTCTCAAAGTGTGGTCTGTGGACTCCTGATGTTCCATAAAGTCAAAACGATTTTCATAACACTATTACATTTACACTAATAGTCCCAAACCAGTGGTGAGTAAAACTGTTGCCCAGTAAGAATCAAGGCAGTAGAAATCATTGTATTCCTCATGGCCACATGCTTGGAATTAAAAAAAACAAAACGTTTCACATAAGAATGCCTTTGATGAGACAGTAAAAATTATTGATTTTATTAAATCCCAATCCTTGAGTACACATCTTTATAATATTCTCTGTGAGGAAGTAGGACGTAGACTTTTGCCACAAACCTAAGTATGAGGGTTTCCTTATGGAAAAACCACCTATGCAATTGTTTGAGTTATGAGCTGAATTATCCACTTTTTTCATGGAATGCCGTAAATTGACAAACTGTAATTACCTGGTTATTTGGTAGACATTTTCTCAAAAATGAATGATGTGAATCTGTCACTTCCAGGGCAACAGCCGACAGTATTTGTTGCCAATGATAAAATTTGAGTCTTCAAGTGAAAATTAAAGTTTTGAAAAACTTATATTCATTATCATGAACTTAAAGCTTCCCAACATGTAAAGACTTTTCTGAAGGAGATTGGTGGTGATATTAATGAATAGAATTTTAAAAATATTGTAAAATCAGTGAATCAGTGTTTTTCAGATGACCAATGCACAATGCTACAAAATCATACAATGAGTAAAAGAGCCATTCTAAGTGCAAGATAAACCAATGGACTTCAACATAACAGTACAAAAAATATGTTGATGTGACTTCAGGTTTCACATTGTAACTAACCTTTAAGACACTGTCCTTTTTCAAATTTTTATGTAGTGTCTAAGAAGAATATTGACAACTATTTGAAATGGCTGTTAAAATACTCCTTTGTCGACTACATATCTGTGTGCGGCCGGATACTTTTCATATACTTCATTGAAAACCTATCACAGCAGATTGAAAGCAGCAGTAGATTTGAGAACCCTGATGTCTTATTAAGCCAGATAATAGATTTGTAAAAATATAAAACAATGTCATTCTCCTCAACTAGTTTTTGTTGTTGTTTTGGAAAATGTAGTTATTTTTCACTGAACCGTATTGTTTATATTAATGTATTATAGGTTCTTTATTATTTATTTATTTATTTATTTATTTATTTATTTATTTATTTATATGTTAAATCTCCTCCCTAGCTTCTTAGTTTCTTAGCCCCTGGCTTTGATTACTTTTCTAATCTGTCTAGGCTAAAGATTGCTCCTAGCCTGAATCCTAGAATTCTCCTATCCCCCTGCTTCTTTTTTTTTTATTAGTTTATTTTTTAATGAATTAATACATATTTTAAAAATTTTGTTTTAATTTTTGAAGACAGTAAATATCGGTAGATATAATCTACATAGACTAAAGCCCATTGGGGTCCTCATTAATTTTTAAGAGTGTAATGGGGTCTGAGACCAGAAAATTGAAAAACTTCTGCTATAGCGTTTGCCACTGGTTATGCATATTTATTCGAAGATTAGTCATTCCCGCTTCTCCTTGAATCAGGATTACTAGGAGCAACCAGGATGTTCAGATGAAAGATTGATGATCACTCCCAGTTAGGAAATGGATTTTGAAAACTCCCAACAGAGGGAAGGGGAAATGCAGCCAGAGGAAACACTCTGATATTAGCTTTACAGCGCAAGACACAATAAGTCAGGAGTAACAGAGATAGAAATGTGCATTTGTTCAACTAAGACTTTTTTTTTTTTTTTAAGATTTTTATTGGGGAATTGGGGGATGGGAACAGCACTGGGGAATTGGGGGAAGGGGAACAGACACGGCAGCCCAGCTCTAGGTTGAGCTGTTGTTCAGCATCTTAGCTGTAGAGGGCAGTGTCACTGGCCTTCATATGTGGGATCTGAACCGGGGTCCTCCGGCATCCCAAACCAGCTCTTAACCAACGTGCCACTCAGCCGGCCCTCAACTAAGGCTGTTTAATTCATCTATTACTCTGCACAACACTCTGTGACTAGCTCTCCAGTCACTTCTGGGCACAGTCATAAAAAAAAATGTCTCTCCTAGCTGTAATCACATGCGATACTAGCAAAAGGGTCTCTTTTTTGTGAAACACTAATTAATTGATGAAAATTTGGGTGCTTTACTCTGTATAAGGCATGTTCATCATTCAATCTCAAATACAAATTAAAATATTTTTTCATATGCTTGTTATCCAGTTTTGTTTTCTCTTTTGTAAATTGTTCATATCTTTTGGTCTCTCTTGAGGCCTTGTTCTTGCCAATTTATATGTGCTCTTAATGAATTAAAATCTTCTCTGTATATTAAATATTACTAACCTTCTCTCTGTCACATTGAAAAATGTTCCTTCTAATTTATTCTGATTTTAATGTTATGGACTTAAAAAAAAAAGAGAGAATATTGCCCCCCTCTACTGTTGCCCTCACAGTATAAGTTTTTTGTGAATATTTTTAATAACTATAATATTCTATCATGAGGAGGACCCTAATTTGTTTAACCATTCCCCTATTTTGTCCATTTAGATTTTTTCTGTTTTTACAGTTTTAAACAATGTGGCACTAAATTTAGCTATGCTATTTTTTTTTTACCTCAATTTAGAACATTTTCTTAGAATAGCTTCCCAGAGGAAGAATTCAGAGCACAGCCACATTTTTAATGCATGATTGAATAGTTTAGTCAGATACAAAACTCTAGACACTATCAATTGATGGCTATGATATTTCTAAAAGCAGCCTTTTGATTACATGTAGTGCCAGCAATGGGCTTTGGGATCATACTTAACAAAGCCATTGATTCCACAAATACCTCCCGTGGGCTTTGTTAGGGGTTGGCCAACTTTTCCTATAAAGGGCCAGATAATAAACATTTTAGGCTTTGCAGGCCATATGGTGTCTATACAGCTGCTCAGCTCTCAACTCAGCTGCTCCATTGTAGTGCAAAAGCAGCCAGAGACTGTGTCCATAAATGGGTGGGTACATGTTTCAATAAAACTTGAGTTATGGACACTGAACTTTGGTATTCATATAATTTTTGTGTGTTGCAAAGTATTCTTTCTATTTTTCTAACTTATTTAAAACTATAAAATCCATTCTTAACCTGCAAGCCATAAAAAATAAGCAGCAGGTTGGATTTGGCCTGTGGGCCACGGTTTGCCAACCCTGGGCTATATTATAGGTGACTCGGTAGTAGACATTTATTATATTGGAACCTCTGGACCTACTGCAGTGATATGGTGGATTTATCAAGAAAACCCTTAATTTCAGTATATATATCTGATAACTCCCTTTCATATTTTACATTTCAGCTGGAGTTAACCGAATTTCATATTGGCCTGCTGATCCAGAAATAAGCTTGCTTTCTGAGGCTTCAAGTTCCGAAGATGCAAAGTTAGATGCCAAAGCAGTGGAAAGATTGAAATCAAATAGTCGGGCCCATGTGTGTGTCTTACTTCAGCCTTTGGTGTGTTATATGGTGCAGTTTGTAGAGGAGACCTCTTACAGATGTGACTTTATTCAAAAAATTATAAAAACACTGCCGGATGCTAACACTGACTTTTATTCCAAGTGTAGACAAGAAAGAATAAAAGAATATGAAATGTTATTTTTGGTTTCCGATGAAGAACTACATAAGCAAATACTGATGACTATAGGCTTGGAGAACCTATGTGAAAACCCATACTTTAGCAATCTAAGGCAAAACATGAAAGACCTTATCCTACTTTTGGCCACAGTAGCTTCCAGTGTGCCCAACTTTAATCAGTACGGATTTTATTGTGGCAATACCGAACAGATAAATGAAATTCACAATCAAAGTTTGCCACAAGAAATTGCAAGGCACTGCATGGTTCAGGCCAGGTTATTGGCATATCGAACTGGTGAGTTATATGCTTAGTTCATAAATTGGGGCATATTGGTTGGGTTGTATTTACCTCAGAATAAAGTGAGGTTCATATCATTTATGGTAGAGTTCATTTACTCTCAGTTTTGCTAGTCATACAATGGAGAGAAGTTAGTGAGACCTTTGAATAGAGAGAACTCTTTTCTTAGAGCAGTTTTAGGATACCTTGTGGCCTTATAATTTGATGCTACATTTATAAATCAGGGCCTAATTAGGCCCTTCTTTCTGCTTCTTGCTTTTATTTCACTGTTCATTGATCCCTCCACTAGAGGTGGGACAAAAAAAGAAAGCGAACCAAATCACTCATTTTTGTTAACTTCAATATTTTATATGTATTCAATATTTAATAAAAACTTTAAAAAATATTTATAATATATGAATTAAAAAGAACTAAAAGAATCAAAGGAATATTTTTCCAAGGCATATTTTTCCAATTGCTGGTATGTCTTCAAACAGCAAGCTGAGAAATCAAACATTTTTACTTTATTATATTTCTATGCATGTGTAGGTATGTGAACAAGGAAAATATTGGGAATTTTCTTTATTGTGGTGGGAGATGGCGTCTGTATCAATAGAACAGTGTTTTTAAATCTTTATAGATGTAAGATTTTTCTAAGGAGAATCATGATAACTTCTTAAAATGCAACTTTGACATAAGGAAAAAATTTAGGCAGGAGGAGCCGTTGAGTAATATTTGACGAGTGGACTGTAGTAGGATTTATTTTTTTTTAACTTATCCCAGGAAAGAAGGAAAAGAGAAAATCTTCAGAAAAGGTATGCCACTGCCTGCAGTGTGTTCTAAACGAAGACCACAGGTTGAAGTAACTTCAGTAGAATGGAGGTTCTCAACTGGCAGTATATCAGAATACCATTGAAACTCTTATTAAAAGACAAATGCTCAAATTCCAACCCAGTCTAAACCAAGCCCTTAAGGTGTGAACTAGGCTTATGAATTTTTAAAGTTCTGCAAGGTATTCTGACATTCAGCAGGGTTAATAATCACTCAGTTGTTATTGGAGAATTTGATTTTATCACAGACGTAAGCTATATGATGCCAAACAACTGTATAGTGTACAAATCTGCTCTAATGTGACTATCTTGTCTTGTGGGCTATACATTACTCTCTTTGCCCAAACCAGCTTTACAAGTAATTTTTCTCTAAACCATTCTGGAAAGACAGAAATATAAATGGGGACAGCTGTGACAGCTATAGTTCACGAACCCCCTTTGCTAAGGAGAATTCACCTGATTCCAGAGTGAGCGTAAGCTGGGAGATACAAATCTACTGTTCTTTAAATTCATCTCAGTACTTGTTTCTCGTAAAACACCCATCATACCATGTATGATTCCAGTGTTTAAAATGCAGTAATGTATAGATATAAATTTGCATATACCAGGTGTGCCCAAAAAAATGTATACACATGATTTTTATTCATCTTTTATCAGTATATATTGAGTATTACAATTTTAATACAGTTTTTTCCTTTCTTAAAATGTGTATACTTTTTTTGGCACCCTCTGTGTATTCTTTACTAGATACTCTAGTTATAAATTTATCCATTATTTGTGTGCCTAGTTTTATACATAAAGCCATGCTTCTGCACTTGATGGGCAATTTAAAAGATTTTTCAAGGTTAATTTTTTTGACCGTGTATGAATTTTTGCCTGGAACCCAAATCTTAATAGGATGCAACTCTATCATGCACTCCCTCCACTGTGAGCTCTTCCCTGGAAAGAGACCATGTCTTCCTCATTTTTTCCTTAGCTTAACTAAGCACAGTGTGTTGAATGGATAAAGGAGATCTTTTAAAATCAAAAGATAAATGGTCCACAATCCCTTATCCAATAACCTTGGAACTAGATGAAAAGGAATTTAGAATTTTTCAGATTTTAGAAAGGTAATATGGTGCATATACTATATATCACACAACATCCCCGGGGGGCCTTGGTCCTGTTGTAATCAAACATATTTACATATGTGGAGTAAAATGTATGAATATTTGCATTAAATATTTGGTCAGGTGTGGCCACAAAAATGTATCAAGCTGTCAAAAAAACCTTGATCTAGGGACTTCAGATAAGGAATTTTGAACCTGTATTCTTCATTGATGATAAATAATAACTATTGAGCACCTACTATGTGCCAGACACAAAGCTAGGCTATTTATATACCTATCTCATCATTTAACATGGAGGACAGTTCAGCAAGGTAGATATCCCCATGATAGAATATGCTTCTAATAACGCAGACTTTTAATTCCACACTGTTCAGTTTGCTTCGATGACTTTATTTCACTCTAATTAATAAAGAAACCATTCCATTAAACCATTTCATTTTAAAATATACATATCAAAATTAATTCTAAAACAACAGAGTTCTAAAACTAATTGAAAGTAAGTGCTTAAGAATTGCTTTTGAATGATGAATACATAGGCTCCACAAAGGTGTCATTAAAAGTATGTTTCTATGATACTTTGAGGTAGCAAAAAAATGACAAAATTCGTTTAGGCTCTAGGGGGAAAAAAAATCAGGAGGCCATCACTTCTACCTGGTTTAAGTGTGATCTCTTTTTTGGGGGGTCCTGTTTTCCCTTTAGATTAGACATTTTCCAAAGCTGAGGATTAATGCCTTCCTCCTGGACCACAACATTGATGGTGAAAGTAGTCAAGAAAGTTACTGTTTCAAATTGTAACTTGGTGGTTCTCAACTTTTAGTACAGAGGGGATGCTCATGAGAATTGCGGATTCCTGAGTCGGCGCACCTTCCATGGAGAAGTTGATTCAGGCGTTTCCATGGGAGACAGGAGTCTGCCTTTTGAACCAGCAGCCAGTGGACAAACCCAGACATGGCCACAGAATTGGGAACTAAAGTAACCACCCCCGTGTTCTGTAGCCATAGGATAGAGCTCTCTGACTTTCAGTCATCAGTCAGGAATTTGGCTCAGTGATTATAAGCTGACCTTTCCTGGACAGAGAAAACCCTGTGAGTGACCAGAGCAATTTCTGTAAAAATGACAGACATGAATAGATTTTTGAGAAATTACCTCATCTGTCAGCCAACCTTGAGGCTTGGGAAAATCTACTCTAACATGGATGAAATTTTATTCTGATTTTAAAAGACACATAAAGGATATTCTGTTGGTGTGACTAACCTTAGGCAGTAGAGCTGCTTGCTGGTGGAAAATCATATTTTTTCCCTTCTTGACAAATTTGAGTCTGTCTCCAGAATGCAACAGGCTAAAAAAACACAACATGAAAAATACTTAATGTAGGTGGTAGGAAAAGTAGGCCCTTAATCTGAAGAATTTCTATTTCAGTTATTCTTTTTTTGTTTGTTTCAGATTTATGCATGTATTAAGTACAATTTTACTCCCGGTAAAAGTTTTCGTTTTGCAGGCAGCTATAATCTTATGTTTATAATTTCTGCGACTTGCCTTAGAAATGAGCATAAAGCTATACCTATATCCTTTTCCCCTCATGGTTTATTCTGAAAGTCTTGGAAGGAACATGACAATGTTTTGTTTACCCCTAAATCCCTTCATGACAGTCTACTCCATCCACCCCATTCCTCAGCATGATGTTCATTTCCTTCAGAGAATAGCACAACACGTGGGTACTTGTGTGTTTCCTTGTTCCTGTTTATAAGTTTCATGAATATAGGAACCCCTCACCGCTGTATACTCAGGCATTCAATAAAGGGAGATCTTTGTCATGAAATTCTTAATGTCAAAGGGGAAAGGCAAGTAGATTGGGTCCAGAGAGCTAAAGTTTATCAATTTCTTTGCCTGTTTTCTCATCTGGAAAAGGGAATTTTATCCACTTTACCTTTAATGTAAAAATGAGATAATGGGTAAAAGTGCTTAAAATAAATTACGCAAATGCTTTGTGATATAATTTTGAAAACCTGAGCTTGCTTGAACTGAGGTTAGTAATTTCATTATAGCATCATAAAGAAAAAGTTAACTTATTTGTGAGACATCCTAGTTTTTAATGCATAGATGGAATGAAGCTTTTTTGTACTTTTACTAGAAAAGTAAGTATTTAAATATGTTATCATTGAAAGGATTGATTTTTAGGAAATTATGAGGTGAAGCCATAGTTTTGTTTAATTCTCATCAATATGAAAATGCCCTAGAGTAAGTTTCCAGATGATTGTTACTTTCTCTGTGTAAAGGTACCTACTTAACTACATTAGTCCCTTATTAAGATTTTGATAAATACTATGGTTTTCATAATTAGTGTATAATTGTCTTAGAAATTTGAAATTCACCCTTGCATTAGTTGTAGGAAAAAGTCAATCTTTCATATGTATAATTTCTATTTTTTTTAAGTTTTCTGCTTCAGATTAATGGCTTTAAGAAATACAGCTTTACTTGTTGCAGAGATTTTAGTTCTGCAATAAAATTATAACCTTATGTTTATAACTTCTGCCACTTGACATAGAAATGAGCATCACATCACTAACTTGGCTTTTTTTCCCCTACAGGCAAATTATAAAGGTCAGGGGAAGGACAACATTTTGTTTAAATCAAATTCCCTTTCAAACACTTCCCAGCAATATGTGAACTCCCATAAAGATTTGTTTATGTTTATATCATAAATTTGAACATTTTTCTTAGCAAGAACATTTGCATAAAATGTATTTTCCATGATTAGAGTATAAAAATGCTAGGAGAAGACATCTTTTATTGTTATGAATAGTTACTACATTAAATCCATTAGTTCAGAAACTTCTTTTTAATAAATTTTATCATCTGTTAGAAACAATCATTTAAAAACTGACTTGTGGTAGAGAATCAATCGTTACACTCAGTTCTGGTTAAGCTTTGACGTGACCTGACCCTTGGCACTGCCATTTTAATGATCTCTGCATATAGAGCACATGTGACTAGGTTGATAGGGACACTGTCTAGTTATTTAGTACCTAGTTCCCACATTCCGTGCTTAAAAGTATTTTAGTGGTTTTCTATATTTAGTGAGATGTCAAGGATTTCTGTTACATTTGTGAAGTATGTTTCAATAAATGTGTTCTTTATTAGTTTTGGAAAAATATATTTCTGATACTAACAAGTCATTGATTCTTACTGAGGTAAATGCCATTTATCTTTCAGAGGATCATAAAACAGGAGTTGGAGCAGTCATTTGGGCAGAAGGAAAATCTGTAAGTATTAAAACAAGGTTTTAAACATTTAACTTTGATTTTGTTTAAACATAGTTCAACCTGAACATTACATTTTATTGGCCCATTGGAATTAATATTTTATATTGGTGCATTTATTATGTTCTCAACAATGTTCTAGATGGATTCGTTCATTTACCAAACATTTATTAAACACCTTCTACAGGGTAGGTGCTGTGCCATAGTGGGCAGTGGAGAGTTAAAAACCACATTTTCTGCCCTTCATGGCCTTTTGCAGTCTAGTCATGCAGACAGAGAAGTAAAAAGGAGATTGGCATATAAGTGTAATTATAACATGATACTGTGAAAGCATAGAGGGGGAGCTTTTACTCTGCTTAGAAAAATGAATGAGATATTCTTGGAGGAAGTAAGATGTCTTGAACAATGACTGGGAATTCACCAGGCAGAACAAGTTCATGGGATGGGGAGGAGAACATGCATAGGTAGGAAGTGTGAGAGAGAATGTGGGATAATGCAAATGAGTTGGGATGTTGGAGTCCAGAGTTTTATGTATAATAGTGTGGGGGAAAAAATTGGACTGGACCCTGAAGGATAGCCCAGCACAGTGCTAACCAGTAGAAATAAAAGGAAAGTCACATAAATAATTTAAAATTTTATAGGAGCCATATTCAAAGGGAACAGGTGAATTAATTTTAATAATATATTTTATTCTAATAAGTCTAATATGATCAACATGTAATCAATATAAAATATTATTAATAAAATATTCTGCATTTTGGGGGAATGCTGTCTTCAAAATCCTGACTGTATTTTACACTTACCACATCTGTCAATTTGGGCTAACCATATGTGGCTGTGGCTACTGTATTGGATAGTGCAGTCCAAGAATCTTTTAAGTAGGCAATGATTTGATCAGACTTGCATTATAAAAATAATGAGATGGAGGTAGACAAGAAATAAGATTAATAAAAAAAGATGACGAGGGCTTGAAATTATGGGGATGGGTTAGGAGGGCATGGAATTAAGAGATACTTAGTAACTATGTATGGAAGCCTAAATTTTGCTTCAATAGACTTTATAGCAAGTAATTTGACTATTTGCCTGGATGACTCATAAACCATTCCTGTTCATCCTAGCCAAAACCTCCAGTATCTTCTCTGCTAACCTTCATCACAGGTAGGGGCACCGTCCTACACATCCACTCAGTCACCAAGTACTATGGATTCCACCTTCAAAATATCTCTTGACTCTACTTATCTCTACGTCAACTGTTAACACCTACTAGAATAGGTTCCACTGCCCAAAACCCCCATAGCATTCTGGACAGCTCATTTGTGACACTCTTCACAGCTAAAATGATGTGTCCAGGTTCTTATAATCTCTAGATTGTAAGGTTCATGAGGGCAGGGATTCCCTATCTTGTTTACAGCTGCATTCCCAGGGCCTGGCCTGTGGTAGGAACTCTCATTTGTGTTCATGTGAATGCTCTGCAGCCTTTGCCCTAACATCTGGTTGTTCTCAACTACTTTGTGGGGAATTTAAGTTTCCAGTTAAATTATCTATAGCATACACAGCATGGTAAAATGGGAACACATGGGTTTGGAGTCGAGCAACCTGGGCTTGAATTCTGGCTGTGTTCCTTACTAGCTTTGTGACCCTGGACAAGTTATTTAGTCTCTCTTGGTCTCAGTTTCCTTATCTACAAAAGGGGAATAATATTAGTACTACTTTCCAGGTCGTGAGCGTTGATTAAATGAAATAATACATATAAAACTCAGCATGATGTTTGACATTTTAGTAAGCACTGAAGAATAATTTATCATTAATGAGATAATATTTTATTTGTAAGCTTTTGTTGGTTCACCATACCACAGTGATTTTTCTCAAGCTGCTACAGTAATGAGTAACTATAAGATATTGAAATTTAGTGAAGTTTATTATAGCATTTTCCAAACTATTATAAACACCTATGATTTATAAAATATTCGCTCTAATAATTGATAACACATTCATATTAATACCTAATACGCCATTGACCAGGAGAACTAAAGAGGAGCCACTGAGGTAAGAAGTTCTATGATAATATCTACACATACAATAGAGGCTCAATAAATATTGAAGATTCAAGGAAATTGCATTTTTTTCAACTTTTTTTAATCGCATTTTAAAAAATAGCACATATTTTAGCCTGACAATAGAAATCGTTCAAAATATTTTTTAAATTTCTGGCTTGCACAGCACAGAGCACATAAATGAATAATCATTTATTGAGTACTGTTATGTATGAAGCATTTTGAATAAGTGTATTGTAAGGGATACAAAAAGAATCAAGTATGGTTTCTATTCTCCAGCATTATATAACCTGTTCTGGGAGAGATATCTCAATCAAGTGAAACCATTTGTGAATTTTACAAGCTAGTATTTAATTGACTGCTAAAACTAAGGAATGCCTTGAAATTATATAGTAGAGAAATGATCAGCCTTCTTGAAATTTGGTGTTGACAAGACCACATTGCAGTAGGAGGATCTAACAGTGTATTTTTCTGATGGTTCAGTTTGTCATAGAAAATTGAATTCATTATATAAAGTATGATAGTAGGCATAAAAATACGTTGCAAGCTGCCTTTTCAGAATGTTGAAAACTAAGCTCTGTTGGTTTGCTATTTCATAGCGAAATTGTGACGGAACGGGCGCAATGTACTTCATAGGATGTGGTTATAATGCTTTTCCTGTTGGATCTGAGTACGCTGACTTCCCAAACATGGACGACAAGCAGAAAGACAGAGAAATAAGGAAATTCAGATACATTGTCCATGCAGAACAGAATGCCTTGACATTTAGGTATGAAATTCCTTTGCATGTATTTTCTTTGAAATGTAGCAAGGGTTAGTTGAAATTAGTTTTCTTTTAGCTGTAATTTATTTCCTTTTTAAAAATATTCCAAGTAATATTCTTTGTAGAAGCATAACTTCAGTTATACTTGGTCTTTCCTGCCTGACCTGAGGCCATTGTCAGAGATCCTGAAGGCCTTCAACTTTATTGAGTCTTTTCACCCTTTTCCCCTCTCCGGTAAAATTCACCTGTCACCTGAGGACAGACTGTGTGAAGTGTGTCCCTAAGGACACCCTTGTATATTTCTGGAATGCAAGCTCTTCTTTGTTTTCTAAATCTAGAGCACACATTTTGTATTTATGAGTATATAGATTTTATTATGAACCAAAATGAACATAGTTTTTGTTAAAGATTATAACTGACATTACCTCCCTTTTAATGTTAATTTAGATAATTTCCACAAACATTTCTCAGCATTAACCATTAAGGGGGTGATCACAGGGTATTCAAAGCTGAATGTGGGCCAGCTGAGTGGCACGTTGGTTAGGAATTGGCTTGGGACACCAGCTCGGAGCAGCAGGGCCCAGTTTAGATCCCACATGAGGGCCAGTGACGCTGCACCTTCTACAGCTAAGATGGTGAACAACAGCTCGACCTGGAGCTGGGCTGCCGAGAGTCGCTGGCGATGGCGTAGGCTGCAGTGGGGCTGGCCCACAGCTGGTATGAACTTTCGTGAGCTGCTGTGAGCCACCGTGAGCGGCTGTCCAATGGCCGACAACTGATCTGCCTCACCTGGGAAGAGCGCAATGATCACAATATCAACATGGGCCAGTGAAGCGATGTCCTCCACAACTAGACTGAAGAACAAAAGGACAGTGACTTGTCTGTTCTCCTTCTCCGATTCCCTAATGCTACTCCCCTCCCTCAAATCCCCAATAAAATCTTTTAAAAAAAAAATGAATAAAACATGGTTCCTGTTTCAGGAGCTTAATAATACAGTAGGGGATCTACCACTGCATTCAGCCTGATGTGCTGGCCTGTGTGGGAAAAGCTGACACAAGTGCTATGGAAATTCGGGGGCTGCTGTGGATGGAGGGGGAGCGGGAGGGAGAAGCTTTATGGAGAAACTGGCATCGGGGCTGAGCTTTGAAGCTTTGGTAGGATTGTGTCAATTGGAGATGCTTACTTGCAGGGAAGTCATTCTTGCTTCAGGCATAGCAGCAGTCTAGAAATAGGAAAAATGCTTGTGTGTGTAGGAATATGAATGTTCCAGTTAGACTGGACCGTGAAGTACCTGGGATTTGGTTGAGACTGGATAGGGAGATCTGTGAGTTTAGACTTTATTTGGTAGGTAGTGGGGAAGTGGAATGGCATTGACAGCCACACTACCGATTGCTCAGGTTACAGGTATATTGTTTGAACAGACTAGGTGCATAAAATTCTGTTGCCCTAGTCCAGGTGAGAAGAATGAGAGTCTGAACTAGAGAGATGGATATGGAAGGCTGTGGTGGTTAAGATGGCTGACTGAGACCGGTGTAAACCACCGAGCCAGGAAGTACAACCCCTATAACCTCAGATGAGAGCATCCCTTACTCCTAAACTACCTCCAGTAAACAACCCTCTTCTTTTCTTGTGCTCTTCATTACAGATTTAGTTGCTTCGTTTTGTATGACGATATGGATTTGTTCAATCCAAACGTTCGTTAAATAAAATTATCCCGTGCTGAGGAGGGTAACTCAAACCAGAAATTTAATATTAACTTATCAATTTAGTAAGCATTTATTAAATATCCACTAGGCACCAGATAAAGGGGTAGCTGTTTTGGCTACCGTGATGAGTTAATGTCTACTCATACATCATAAGCTTTTTTTTTTTTTTAAGCTGAGCCATCCTGCCACCTGTTGGCAGCTCAGCGGCTGCTCAGCTCGAGCCGGGACTCAAACCGCTGTTGCTCAGAGCTCACACCCTTGAGCAAGCTCTTAACAACTGAGCCACTTGGCCCGCCCCTAATAAACTTTTAAGAAGGGTGTTAGTTCTAGCTCCTAATTCTGGCATTATAAAGAAGTTCTTACTTAGAAAACATTGTGTCTCTCTCTCTCAGTGTCTGTCTCTTTTTTCATTTACTTTGTAATCTAACACTGAAATGTTGCCAAATTGCTTAGAATAAGTGAATGACTTTTAGTTATAATTATGTTCAGGTTACATTTTAACATTAATGAGTTTATGTATTTTGAGCATTGACTAATTCAGCAAGAATAAGGTTAGCTTATTGTTTATAATGTAAATCTGTTCTTGAAGCAGCTCAATTTTAAAGATTTCTCTAAAATATAACTTACTTTTTCAGAAACTACCTTCTTAATATTTTGTAATTTTTTTGTAGGTGTCAAGAAATAAAAACAGAAGAAAGAAGTATGATTTTTGTGACCAAGTGCCCATGTGATGAGTGTGTACCTTTAATTAAAGGTGCAGGCATAAAACAAATCTATGCAGGGGATGTAGATGTTGGAAAAAAGAAGGCAGACATCTCTTACATGCGATTTGGGGAACTGGAGGGTGTTAGCAAATTTACAGTAAGTAGATAGACACACTTTTTTCAAGTATACTTGCCATTATGTTGTTTGGTACCCTGCTGCATATGTTAAATTAGCAATTCCCATTGTTTTTAATTTAAAGAGTTTCAGCAAACTATATCATTGCGTTTATTTTTATGTGCAAGAACTTGCCTAATTACAAATGTTCAGTTTAGGATCTCTGCCTTATGAATTTACATCTCTATAGAGAGAGTTGTATATTCACCTTACTGATCTTGAATTAGTGGGCCATTTGGTGCCATCTGGTGACTAACAAAGGAAAATCCTTGACTCACCTCTTCTCTCACCCCTTTTTTTGTTTTGTTTTGGAGTGATTATAATAGAGTTAAAAATAGTTTAAGATTACCCCAAAGACAGGGAGGGACACACACACACACACACACACACACACACACACACACACACACACACGTAACACATTTTTCATGAGAAAAATCAGAAAAGGTTAGAAGGGGTTTCATATTTAATATATAAAAAAAAAGTACTGTGGTAGTTCATGGAAAACTCAGAACTTTAACTCTTTATACTTTTTGACTATGTAGGTTTTTAAAATCTTTTTCTTTTTAGAAACAATTGCAAATATATAGAAAAGTTACAAAAAACACTACAAAGGACTTGTTTTTCCAGAAACATTAGAGAGCAAGTTGTTGACATGATACCAAATCACTCTCAAATGCTTTTTGTATATTACTTCAAATAGTATATTCTTCCACATAACCATAAAATACAACCACAAAACTAAGGAAATTATCAGTGACACATTACTGCCATTTCATCCACAGATTCCAATCAGTTCACCATTATGTCCCAATAATATTTTATACAGCAAAAGGATTTTATCCAGATCATATGTTGCTTTTTAATGATAATTCTGGCATTTAACATAACATCTGTATACTAGAATTTACAGAGGGTACAAAAGGCATATAATAGAGCTGTTTATAAATTTCAGCTTTATATTCCTATTTGAGTCCAGGGTGCCTAGAACATATAAAGCACCTGAAAGATACTTATTAAACTATATACTGGGGGTGCCAAAAAATGTATACACATGACTCATCTTTTGTTATTGGTTTATTTTGAGTATTACAATTTTAATACAGTTTTCCTTTCTTAAGATGTGTATACATTTTTTGGCACCCCCGGTATATATATTTAAAATTTTTTAAATAAAACAACATACTATCTAGTTCCTGCCTGACTGTGAAGTACCATAAATTTTTACCCTTTTTATTTTTGTCTTATACTTTTGTTTTTATTTCAAGTTTATCACGACTTTAAAAAGAAAAGGAGGAGGCACTGAAGAAAGGAGAGATGGAAAAGGTGCCTCTTTTATAAAATTACACAAAAGCTTACATCCAACTAGTCAAGGAGAAATCTCCAGTTCTGTGTTTTTTTCTTATCTCTTCATTCCTCCTGAAGAGTGGGAAGAAATAGGTTTTTTCAAATTCTTCTCATAAAGATTAAGTGACCTAGCTCTTTAGGACTGTGAGTGATGGGTTAAGTGAATTCTGAGATATCTTGCTTTCTGGTGGATTTTAGTAGCTTTTCAATTTTAAAGAGAATGAAAAGATCCGAAGAATGTAA